TATCATTATTTAAGTTTTAAATAATGTTGAGCTGCATGAAGAAAGAAGGGGTGTATTAAGATAAAAATAGAAAAATAGAAAACAAAAGTAATAAAATAATCTAGAAAATGAGTCTTTTAAGAGAATAGTAAATAATACCAGTCTAATGAAGGGACAAAGTGAGAAATAGAAAAAGAACAGATATAGTAGAGAAGAAATAGGGCCAGGGATTTAGCTCAGTGGCATAAGTGCCTGGCTGGCAAGTGCAAAGCTGTGAGTTCAATCCCCAGGATGGAAAAAAAAGAGGTAGAAATAGTAATGGAGGAAAAAATAAATAACAGGAAAATGAATGATTTTAAGAGAGTCTTTTGCTTAAGAAGATGCAGATAAATATTTCTTTCTTTCTTTTTTTTTTTTTTTTGTCTTTTTCCTTTTTATCGGTACTGGCTTTCGAACTCACGATCGCCTATTTGCATGGCAGGCACTTATGCCACTGAGCTAAATCCCCAGCCCCCCAGATAAATATTTTAAAAGCCAGATTAAATGATTAAATGGTTTTCTAGGAAATACTATTTTCTGCAATACATAGAGGAGACAGAAACATCTAAATGGAGAAATGACTATTAGTAAGTCAGAAGAAATAAAACTGGGTGATAAAGGACCTCTTAAAAATGTGTCAGAGTGTTATTTCTGCAGGGAAATGCAGTATTTCGGGGAAGAGAATATTCTAGTGCTGAGGGGATGTTTTCAGAGCACATTAAAAGACAGAAAGCGTTCATGGTTTTAAACAGTGAAAAGACTGTAACATTGGTGCTTAAATCTGGGGAAGGCAGAACTCAAAAGTAAATGTCAGTTTCAGCTGTGAAAATTGGTGTATAAGTTCCAAATAGACTGTAAGCCAGTGAATTCCACAGTGGATTACAGGACCGCCACAACAGTGCATGCTGACAGGACGCTGAAACGGAATATTCATTCTTTAAAAATTCTGGGTAATTCAGACTGCGTCTTACAGCCACGTGAGATCACAGTTCATTACATAAGGAGGAGCACAAAAGGGTGGGGTTCATGCATTTCATTACTTTTCTTTCCCCTTGTGGTGTTGATCAAGGGAATTAGCTGTAAAGAGAGAGATCAGTGACATCAAATTGGAGAGGGAGTTACTGTTGCCTCTGCCCTGTTGGTTGCTTTGGGACCCTCGTGCTGGTAGGGTTGTTTCTCTTGACAGCCAGTTTTCTCTTTGGAGAAAGATCAAATCATTATTTTTGAATAAGAGGGTCTTTTGCTGTTTTTTACAGCATACTTAGACATTTCCAGCTCTTCTAGGTTGTCACTGTCTCTTACTGATTTTCTTTGTTAGTCAGCAGAATTCCCTCGCCTCTACTTTCATGTTTCAAATAAAAAAATAGATGGAGGCTGCATGCAGATGCTAATTCCAGAACACGTGCCGTTCAACTCCTGAGGAATTATGTTCAGGGTCTGTTTCATACCTGCAAACCAGCAGAAGGATTACAGCGTCGGGTTATTTGATAACAGTTCAATAGACCATGGCAGTTTTCTAATGTAGCATCTCTGTACATCATTTAGAGGTTTAATACAGATGATCACCCTGGACTAGCTACTAAACTATTTTCATACCTTGATTATTGAAGCTGCATTTAAAAAAACCTCTAATATGTTAGTAAAATTATTGACATCAGATTCCCTTGCTAAATTTATAAATGCAAATAATTTTAAGAACTCATGCATGCAGAAGTTATCTTTAATAACTGACCTTTTTTGATTACAGTGTTAAAATATAAAACAAGCATTTATGAATCAATCAGTTTGCACTGTTTAAGAGAACCTAACATAAATATTTTGAAATGTTCTTTCTTCTAAATAGTGTATTTTAAATTCTCCTGCATGTCATTTTATGATTTTTGCTTTTGAATGTTTTTCTATTATATGAAATTGATTTAACCACAGGATCTTTACCTTGCCAGACATCTTTAACTCCTTTTTCCCTTTGCCTCTTCTCTTCCTGTTGCTCAGAGGAGGAGAAGGAACTACACTATTAAGGCTGCAGCAGAAATTAGTTAAAATAAATGAGATTTTGCAAGTTTGGCTGTATCTTATATTTTATGATGGGTGCTAGTTTGCTTATTGATGGTTAAGCCACTTCTTTGATTGTCTATCTGTCCACTGGATTCTAAAATGTTGCCATGCAGGAAAAGTTGCTAAACTATATCAGAGTGAATTTTTCTAGGATATAACAATAAATTATAGAGTGTAACATGAAACCGTCACGTGCCAAATAGGAAAGCTAATAGCCATATGTGAATGTTTCACTTTAAGTTAATTAAAATTACATGAAATTAACAAGTCAGTTCCCCAAGTACACTAACCATAGTGCAAGTGCCCTGGAGCTACATGAGCCCAGTGGCTGCCCACCTTGACATCTAGCTGTAGAATATTTCAGAAAGTTTCACTGTGAAGCCTTTGGTGATGTCTACAAGTATCACCTGTTTGTTTTAAAATCATTTTCTTCTTTTGATATTATAAATACTAATAAAAACTAGAATTTCTGTCAGTATTTTATTTATCTAATTTTTATTCTTTTGGTATTAGAATTCAGATTCACAACCTTGCACTTGCCAGGCACTTACACCACTAAGCGAAATCCCTGGCTCCTCTGTCAGTATTTTTAGAAACAGTGAATAACTCAAAATTATTTAGAAGAATTTGTTATACTTTTATACTAATTTAATTTTTAAGATTATTTAATAAAGTAGCACATGTATCAACATGAGGTTGATTTGAAATTCTAGGAAAACGTGTAGAAAATCTTGAGATGGTACAAAATACAGGGGTGGGTAAGGTGAAGGTAGGCTGTTCTCTCACTTGGTCCTGACCTAAACACAGTGATGAAGGTGAAACTGTTTTCAAAAGACACTCAGCCACCTAAGTAATCCCAGCACTCAGGTGGCTGAGGCAGGAGGATTGCTGTGAGTTCAAAACCAGCCTGGGCTACATAGTGAGTTCAAGGCCAGCCTGAACTACATAGCGAGATCTGTTTTCAAAACAAAACAAAACAAAACTCCTGATTTTAAAAAGTCATTCAGGAGATGTGAAGTCAGTGGAGAAAGCATGTGTGTTTGAGGCATATCACTTCAGGATATAATTATAGTATTAATACAAGTTAATCCAGGAAAAGTCAAAACCATCAGAAAGCAAAGAGGAGGAGTAGTAACCAAAAGGAACTGCCAGTACTCCTAGCTGTTGTGAATGATCATTACTCAGAATGTTTCTCTCTGCATACTGTGTGGTTCCCTGTGTACATGGCACATTCGTTCAGCAGCGAGAGCCTTTTGGGAGGACCTCAGGAAGGCTGATCCTCGGAGAGGCAGGAGGGCTGATTACGGCTGTGACGCTGACCTCCAGTGGGCAAGCTTGAACAACCAGCCCTGATTCTTGTTACCTGTGGGAGTGTGGCAACTTATTTTATATCTGTGCCTGCTTATTTGCAAAATAGGCTAAGGAGTGAACCTATTAAAATACATTAAAGATTGTAGTGCTAGAATTGCTAACAAATGCTATCTAGGTATCCCAGTGCCAAACAAATTCGCCTCTGTGTTATAGCAAGGAAGCATACATTTAACCAAGTAATTGCAGTAAGATTGGGTGAGCTTTCTTACAGGATAAGTCAGTGTTCTATGCACTTATGTGTTGAAGTGACCTAATTTTTGTTAATCATTTTAACAAAATTTAGCTTTTTGTATGCCTTGGGTTTTATTTCAAAGCATTCTGAGATCAAATCTTACTATTTTTTAGTTTGTATTCCTTAAATTTTATTACCCTGATATGGTAAATGTTTAAAGATTCCAAAATAGTAAGTAAAAATGTTGCCTTGATTATCCTGGTAATATCATAACTGTCAAAATTCTTTCCCTGCTGCTTTACATTTCATACCAAGTTGCCAAAAAGGTAATAGAATCCTCTGTTAGCCATAGCATCTGGCTAATCAAAATAAAATCTATCTTCCAGACTTTTACAGGAAAGTCTGGTTAGCCTTGAGTATAATTAAGGAATCTATTATGGATACCTATTAAAAACAGGAAATTGTGAGGCGCGGCTGTTTTTCCATACATAGTGGAGGACAGTTTTCCTCAGTTCTGTGTGAGAAGAGGCGAAAGAGAGTTTTGAAGTCTGAGATACTAGGACAGCTACGTGAGAGTGAAATGAGCAAAGTACTAAAGTTACTTCAGGTTTCTCAAGGTGTCTCTCACTTCTTAACGTGCACTGTGAGATTAGTTTGAAGGTATTCAGTTTGCCTTGTGCTGCATTCTGTTAGATTCTCCCCTTTGTGTTTCTTGATTCATAATGGAAAATGAAACATCAAATTATTATTTATATATTAATATATTTTATTTTATAATATGAAAACTGATCTTATTTAAGCACAAATCCTGAGAAGTGTTCATAGTTGTCAGAAGCATAAGAAGCGCCTCTGTTTGCTTGCAGTTTAACTGTGGGGGAGGTTAGTAACTGGAACACAGTGAGTCTGAGCACGAGGCTCCTGGAAGGTCTGTCTGGACCTGACACCAGGCAGGCGTCCTTCCTCGTGGTGGCTGTCGCCCACCAACCTGTCAGAGAGGGCTTTCAGCTTAGTGCTTCCCCTTATTTGTAGTTTATGTTTTAGCAAGAATAGAGTACAGCTGACCCTGATGTATGGAAGTGATGTATCTGAGAAATTACATATTTCAGAGACCTTGCATGGTTATTCAGGAGGAAAAGCAAAGATTTATTTTTTCTGTGGTTTCTGTTCAATGAATATATTTTTTTCCCTTTGCCTCCACATCGTAAACACTGGCCATAACAATAGATGAATTATGCATGTACGCGGACTCTAGGTTTATTTAAAACACATGACTTCAGGTAAATGCAAGGGCTCTCAATTCTGTTTACTGTTATAAAAATCCGTGTTTAACTTTATGCAATTGTTTGCTCACAGGTGAGCTCACATTCCTTTGGTTTTCTCCCAGATTCATGAAAAACTCCACTACTATGAGAAGCAGAGTCCAGTGCCCATTCTTCATGGCGCGGCCGCCTTGGCAGATGACGTAAGTGTGCCTTTCTGCGCCCGAGGGATGTGTCTGCTGCACACCCGGCTGGGGCCCAAGCCATCCCGGTGCAGACAGATGTGTGTGATCCTCGGAGTGAAAACCAGGAGAAGTCACAGATGTTTCCAAAAGTCCTGTCATCACCGAGCTTATGCCGCTATTATGTTGAATTTCATTCACTTTCCTGTTCTGAAAATTGTGCATGTAACGCCGCTCGTGTTCTGCCTTGGTAACTACGTAATAGAAATTTTAGGTTTCAGACTGTGTGGAGAGGGATAAGGTGTCGGGCATTTATTTTCTGAGAAAGTCATGGACAAGGGGAGTGCTTTAGAGAAATAAAGACAAATGAGATAGGTTATATCGCCGACAGTGCTAAAAAATGACAGGTACTGGGAAAGGAATGAAGCATATGATATGCATAAAAAGACAGGTTTGTTTTTAAAATGGATTATAGATCATCGTCATGATTTATGGATATTAGACCTTTCCAAATTACCTTCATAACCAAAAAATAAATTTTAGAAGCAGTTGGCATTGATGGAGTAGTTAATTTCCTGTAGCTGTAATTTTATTTTCTACTGGGGGGAGGGGAACCGGCTTGCCGATGCCCACTGTTAGCTTCCAGCCCCGGGTGAATTGAGCGCACACCTGGATAAACTGTGCAGGACACTCAGCTGGGCAAGACGGGCACTTGCTTGCTTAGTGTGTGGCGGTGGTACCCTGTAGCTGACTCCTGGTCTTAAAATTGTTTGCTTTATTATCATAAGGCAAACTGTAATTCTGTTTAGTAAGATGTGAGGGTTGTAGTATACCAAGAAAAAGATGGGCTATCTTCAAGAGTTGGTGTTCTTTGGTATATTTTTATATTCTAATTTAGAAAATAAAGCTTATGTAATAAATATCTAAGCTGTGTGCTGTTTGCTTAGTCCTCAAGCATTTTTTCCCTTTTACATTTATCTACAGACATTCTGTTCAGTAGATATGTTTAATTTGGAAGTTTACTTTTGTATTATAGAACCAAAACTTTTGAGAAGAGGGAGGTATAGTTATCTTAGTAAACAGTAGTTAAAACTTAAAAAATCCTTAAAAAGTAGTTTTAAAACACTGTTGTGCATTTTGGGATGCACTTAGTAGAAAACAGTATAATGGAACTGTAAACCTAATAGAAAATTGCTCTTTTTAAAGATCAGTATCTGAGGCTGGGGTATGGCTCTGTGATACAACACTTGTCTAGCAAGTAGAAGGCTCTGAGTTTAATCCTCAGCACTGAAAAAGTGACAAATTGATAAACTAAATGAAAAATTGGAATCTACTCCGTAAACAGGGTAAGGCTGTTTTCTAACTCATCAGAGCAACATATATATATTTAAATGTTAAAATATATTGTACATTAGATAACTTACAATACAAGGAGCCTTTTATGCCATTTTTGTAATTTAAAAATTCTATAAAAAGAAAGATTGCATTGAGAAAGGAAAAGTGGTTTTTGTAGTGTAATTAATGAATCAGTTTTGTCTGATTCTACTTCCTATTAATGATTTTCTCATAGAGAAAAGTACTTTTCCAAAGCCATGAATCAATGTTTTCAGCATGGCAGAAACAAAAGGGGAAAATGGAAATTTTAACGACATTTTAGGAAGGGTTTTAAAATTTAAAAATATAAGATATTTTGAATCTTTCATAATGTTAGTATTTTTTACTATTTGAGTCTTTTTTTTTCCTTAAAAATTTGTGGCTTTTTCTGTAGCCTAAAATTGATGGAAAATTTCACAGGAAGATCTTTTGAAATTTCATTTTATTTTTAATTGGCAAATGATAAATGTACTTATTTATGAGATGCAATGTGATATGCTCGATTACCATCTAAAACATACATCATTTCTTTGTGATGAGAACATTCAGAATCTTTTGCTGGAGGACATGAGGCTTTAAAGTTCCAATCCTTTCTTTAGATAGACAGAAACAACCACTGGGAATTTTCAATGATAATAATGGAGTACAGAGAAGCAGATTTAGTTATCAGACTATTACAGGTTTATGATTCACTTGGTTTATATTTAACAGACTTCTTAGTCTGTATAGGTAAACATAATAAAAGTTTCAGGTCATTTACTCTATTAGGACCATTCAGGTTCTTTTTACCTCATCCCTAAGCAGCCCAGCTACTGTGGCCTTTTGGAAACCCCATGGATTTCACCACCTCATTCAGGACACCCCCCACCCCCTGCCATGTTAGAGCTCAACCCAGATCCTTTTACAAATGGTCCTTTGTCTGCATAGGAAGACCATCGCGCAGATAAAGTGCTTGGACTTGCCCTTACTGCAATAAATCAGAAAGTGATCTGGCCAGTATGATTACTCAGGTTGTATTCAGCCGGGAGCCAGGGCTGGAATCTAGTCTACTAAGGCCTGGAAGGAAGAGCACTGACTGATGGCCTGCTTTCTTTCACACTAACTTCTTAAAACATGGAAAGGGATAGCCTTGCGCAGAATGTTCTCAGCTATGACACACTGCAACCCCACAGTGCTCCCCTAAACTTACGTATGTCAATGTAATCTCCCTTGCAGCTGGCCGAAGAGCTTCAGAACAAGCCGTTAAGCAGCGAGATCAGAGAGCTGTTGAAACTACTGTCAAAACCCAACGTGAAGGTGAGGACATGTTACCCTGCAATAAATGCCTTCTGAAAGAAACGCTTTCTGAGCCCTCAGATGGATTGTCTCAGACATCAATTTTCAAGTAAATATGTTTTCAAAGAGTGAACAGTATTTTAATAATCTAAATCCTATTAAAAAAATTGAACTTTTAAAAATTTATACATTGTAACAAACTACACAGTACTTTGAGAAGCTCAGAATTTAATTGGCAAATATAATGTAGCGTCATTTTTCTTTTTGATGAAGTTAAGAGTCCCAAATAGAGAACCAACTAGTGATTTTGTTTAGATTTCTTTTATGTGGCTAATAAATGATATTTCGATATATTTGACACATGTATCTGTTTCTCTATAGGATTATTTCAGCATTTCTTTTCCTTCTCTGCCATCTCTCCATTTTCTGTCTTTCTACAAGTCATGTTTCAAAATACTGTACCTTTTCCTGGAACAGAGCAGTTTTCCAGCGTAAAATACCTGTGAAATATTGATAGAAGGACTTCAGTTCTCTGCCAGCTGTTTCCTTCTAAGTTTGTCACTTATTTTTCTCTAAATGTGATTTATGTAAAGAAGACACTTTACAGTGTTCCTGCTCTTCCTCTGAGATCATTAATGCATAAAATCTCACCATGTTTATACATCATGTATATACATTTTGAACTTGATATTATAGCAGTTGTGTATTAAACAATGTCCCATGATGCAAAACTACATACAATTCCGTAATGAAAATGGTTAGCTGTCTTATAATGCTTATAGGTAAACATATAGAGCGTTGATTGAAAATTTTTGCCTAGGTACAAAGACTGGCTTCTACATTCTTGGCAAAATATCCTTTGAAACCATACTATATGGGTTCTAAATTTATAGTCAACGAAAGAATGTCTGTTAAATGAAAGTTAAAGTAAAAACATGCATGGACTATAATGTTTAACCTAAATAAATCTAAGTATACAAATACATTGATTTAGAGAGTAAATGGACTATAAATAATAGTTCAAGAGTATTGATTTGATATAGTTTAGGAGGTTTCTTAATCTTTTTCTCAGAACAACAGAAACGTTTCTTGACATTAAAGACTAAGTGTGCCCAAAGGTTAGGAGCTCTAAAAAGGAGATCCATAATTTAAGAGCTGTCTTAGTTGCTTTTTTCTTGTTGAGACAAAATACCTGACACTCAAAAATTAGGGAAGTGAAGGTTTATTTCTTACAATTTTGGAGGTTTCAGTCCATACTCAGCTGGCTCCAAGGCAGGGTGGCCTGGTGGAGCCGCTGTTCATGGCCACTGCAAACAACAAGAGCAAACAGACTCAAAGAGAGGAAAGACACTCATTCTTCCCCACCCCTACACTGTATGCCCGCTCCACCCCTGGCGGGAGGAACACCCACATTACCAATCCTAGCACCAGACAATGAACCAATCACATATGCTAGATTCAGCCATGTCCGTGATTGCATGAGGCTTGGGAGGGCCATCCAAACACAAACCATAGCAAGAGCAACCACAGGATTTCATTTGGTCTTAGACTCCATGTAAGAAATTAATATCAATTAGAGTAGGACAAGCTACGCTATGAGAAGTTTGTTAAACTCTTTTGATATTGGAAATCAGAAAGGAATGTTTCAGATAAAAAATTTTTTGGTATTTTGCTCAGCTGTATTTAAAAAGGAATAGTTAATAAAAGAGATTAATACTGGACAGAAATTGGTGTTTGGTTCCAGAGGAAGCAATGAGTTAGATAGTATCATGAAGATGTCTTTGATAGAATTTTATAGTAATCGCTTAAATTTTGTGGAAAATATTTTATATGAATTATTTTCATATTTATATAGCAGTGTGATTAAAAAATGGTTGAGAAGTCACCATGAAAAATATATATTTGAGAGGTTTATTTTGAAAGTGGGTAAGAATCCAGACATGTGGTGTTCCAGTTGGCTATGCCAATCTATGGTGAGGCAGTCTTGAGGAGAAAGTATCTTTCTTTCATTTTTGATTCCAGATTTAACATCGCATTCCCTGAAGTCATTTGTATTATTAACTGCCAACATATGGAATGTCACTTCTATAGTCAATTACAGATCTTCCAACACTTTTAAAAAAACTTTTGTAACTTTCCTCTGGTAATGTGTAAATGTAAATGGAGACAGATCATTCGTGATGCTTACTGGGTGGCAGGCCCTTTGGATTCAACTTGTAGAAGATAGATTAATGAAAATGGGAGAGGAAATATTAAGTAAGAAAAGGTTACATGTGGAAATGATACATAATGTACAGGAATCATCATACATCCAAACTTGGGCCAGGGCAGAGGTGTTGTTGAAGAAAACTGTACTGTGAACTTGAAGGCTGAGTCTGAGGTACCAGGAGAGGGTAGTGGAATTGGGGGTGAGATGAGAAAAACAAGTATTTTAGGTAAAGTGAAAACCTGTAAAGCTTGAGGATGAAAGTAAATGTTGCTCAACTGGACATGACCTTGTTAAAGAGGAGAGGATAGGTTAGAGCTACGTGGTTGAGCCTTTTGCAGAGGGGTTGGCCAGCACAGTCTGGTCTGTGCCTATGGTCCCAGCCTTATTCTTAAGAGCTTTTCTTTTATGGCTGCTTCCCTGTTTCAGTGATGAAGGCTGAGACCACCCTAATTGTGAGCATATTAAAAAGTTTGGATTTTATCCTAAGTGCAGTGGAAAACTATGGAAAGGTTTTAAGTAAGGAAGTGACACAATCACTCCACGTGTAGAGTGTAGAGGCAGGTGGTGCTGGAGGGCCGTGGGGATGGACAGCTATGTGGAGGATGCCAGTGAGGAGCTGGAAAGAGTTCGGATGGTCACCATCGCAGTCCTGGTGAAGGCGGCCACGTGAGTTGTTTGAAGAGGTAACTTCACCACTCAGAGTTGGGATAACTGGTTAGTTATTTGGCAGAAAAAAATGAGAAAAGTATCCTTTCTAGGATGAATTCCAAATAGATTAAAGGGTTACGTGTACAAAATTGACCAGTAAAAATATTAGTGGGCTCAGCAGTGAAGCATTTGCCTAATATAAGAGGCCCTAGATTTGGTCATCAGCACTACAAGAAGAAAAAATGTACATTAGCAAAATCTTGACGATTATTTGACTGTGAGATAGACAAATCACAAGCACAGGGACAGACACAAACAGAAATGCGGCAGTTCATGAGTGTGGGGACACATGCACACATGGAAGAAAAGTTTTTAAAAAAAGATTCATGAATTAAGTTGGAAGGAAACCAATAAAAATGATTTATGCTATTTATCTTTAATAAGAAAGAAAGTTTATTACTTTCCATTAATTTTTCCTTCTACAAACTGAATTGATGGAGACAAAAAAAACCCAGAAATATTCTTTCTTAATAGTGCATAGTTGTGTTTTTAATTCAAACTATAGAGAAAGTAGAAGACTGTTTTCACTGTGTTTTAGTGAGGATGAGTATCTTTTGATATCTTAATGCCTTTATCTCTGTGAATTGTGTGTTCATAACCAAGGGGAGATCAGCAGGAGTGATAAACAGTGAATGTTTATATTTAAACAGTTATAACAATAAAAGACAGGTTGCCATTAATTCTCCTCAAAATACTCCCTACCACTTCAGTCACACTTACTGCATTGTTCCTGTGACTTTGTGAAAGGGTCTGGAGCCAGGTGTGGTGGCACACTGCTGTAATCCCTACTTTTGGGGCTGAAGCAGGGTTGCTGCAAGTTCCGGGGCAGCCTGGGCTCTGTAATGAGTTCAAGACCAGCCTGAACTGCACAGTGAGACCCCATCAAAAACAAACAAGCCAACATTGTTCTGGAAATCCTCTTTCAGGAATGTCTTCCTAAGGTGTGATCAAAAAATAAACTGAACGCTGGCACCAACTGGTGTCCAATGGAAAGGCAAGTGTGTAAAAACAGAGTCCTGTGTCCTAATCCACCTTATTCAATGAATCTGGCGCCCGCCCTGCAACTTCCGGCTCTTCCCCAAAGTCAAAATAACCATGAAAGACAAATGTGTTAAAATGATTTGGACATGGAGACAACCATGAGAACACAATTGAAGATACTCACAAAAGGGGGCTTCCAGAACTGCTTCAGAAAGTGGCACAAGTCGTGGGATAAGTGTGGGGCACCAGGAGGAGTATTAGGAGGGGGATTAATGGCCGTGTGTCTTGTACAGTAATTTTTCTTAAAGTAAGTGTTCATTGTATTTGTTGATCGTACCACCATTTCCTCTGCATGTCATTATTAAATGCACACTTTCCCTCTTTAAGAATAGAATTCACATCTTACGGTTGGATTCTTGTTTTTTAACATTTTAAAAATGTGGGGGATGGGGGATTAGCTCAGTGGTGTAAGCACCTGCTTGACAAGTGCAAGGTTGTGAGTTTGATCCCCAGTACCAAAAGAAAAGAAAAGAAATTGTGGGGACTTTTCTGTGGATCAGCATAATTACTTAATTTATCCTTTAGAAATAGAGCTCTCTGTTATTTAAAAAAAACTATTACGTACATTTTGTATATTGCAGAATTTTGTCTTATGTTGGATTTGGTGTATTTCTATTAGGTTAATGAATTGTTGGCTGTTAACATATCAACATTTTACATTTTTGATAGCTATTACTAGCTTGTACCTAAGACAGGTTCTTTCCATGTACAATAATGCGTGAGGTCACTTTCTCTATGTAGTTGTGATTACTATGAAGTTAATTATATAAACTTTGTTTAGTGTTCTTTTTTAGCATCAGTAGTTGCCCACCTCCAGAGCTATTTGTTTTTTTGTTTTTAAATGGATGAAAGTTTCTTGTTTGATTTATACTGGTTGTAGGATATAGCATATTTACTTTATGTAAAATTTGTTAGATATTTTTGTCTGCTAATTTGATCAGTTTTCATAAATGTACTATAGCAATATGATAACAGTATTTTCTTATTTAAGTGTGGCCTTGCACAAGTTTATATACAGTTAAGTATGCAAAATGATTCTTAAACTAATAATTGTAATTAGCATTGTTTGAGAACAGGCTTTTGCCAAGCACCTTCATGCATTATCTCTAATTATTATGAAACTATGTTGAATAAGTTTTAACAGTAATTCCCTTTTAAATATTAAAGAAAACCAAGTTCAAAAGCATCCAATCCAGAAACTAAGCTAGCATATAAGAAGTCTGTCTGCATGTGTGTGTTCCATGGAGTTGCTGTTACGTGTTCAAATGTGTCTTACTGATGTCCAAGGTGGTCCTGTTTATGTCTCTTGCACACAGCTCTGTGCTTGCAGCATGGGGGGGCTCCCAGGAAATTAAAGCCAACATAAACTATTAAGTATTTGGAATTTTCATTTCATTATAGCCTTTCATATCTTTTCATGTGATTCAGTATATATTCATATGGCTTTTAAACTTTTTTTCGTGTTTTTTACTTATAGTAGCATAAAATTGTGATACTGTTCATTTCACTCCTAAGCAATCATGAATTTCTGAAGAACGCCTGGGCTTTTCTCAAGTATTGAGTGCCTTCATGTCTATAATGGTTAGGAAATAATTTGTTATTCTTTAGCAATAATCTCAATTGAGAAGTGTCAAAAATTTTGAAGATTACTTACAGTACAAAAACTTAGTTAATAAAATATCTACAGACTGTGATTGCACTGTTCAGATCTTAAAGTCCAGGAAAAACAAAATAAAAAAAATGAACAAGTGATAAGAAAGGATAGGCAGGGATTCGCTGCATGCTTGTGGAGGCGTGCAATGCAGTGAGCGTGGTGGTGTGCCCGGGCTGTTGACAGAGGGATCCTGGTCTGCACAGAGGCTCTGTCTCTAAGGCCAGTAAAGACAGTGCTAATAAATATGAATCAGTCCCGGACATCGCGACGCTACAGTAAAGGCAGAAGAACTTGTGTGAGTCATCACACTGGGCTCATTTTGATAAAACAGCAAAGTGACACTCTTGAACGTGGTAGTGTAATTTAGGAAATCAGGGAAGATTTGGTGGACTATTTTTAAAGGCAAGAAGACAAAGATTTTTTGTAATTTTTCAGCTTTCCAAAGTACTCACTTACGAGAAATTACTCATTGCGTGAGCATGCAGAATGGATGAGGGTTCATTAAAGCATGCTGAAGGGAAAAGTTAAGCTTCCTTCTGGAGGAATAAATCAGTTTTACTCATCCTTATGAGCTGGACACTTAATTCAGTGGACCTGACAGATACTTAGAATTTAGAGTTCACTCCAGGGGGTCTAAGGCAGTGAGAATTTGTGAGCCTGATGAGTTACAAAGCCTAGCATTCAATTTCCTGCAGTTTCTTCTGGGCAACAGGTAAACCCATCAGTTGTGATTGGTGGTTATGGCATATGGAAACACAGTTTCCATTTAAGTTTGCCTTTTGAGAGGAAAATCTGTATATTAAAAAAATAAAATCACCATGGTTAAAACAGGAAAATGGAACACAGAGTAACTTTTAGTTATCCAAATAATAATAATGTTGCTAACCAATGATGTTTATAAAGCAAAGCTGTTAAAAAAGATGAACTTGAAATTTGTAAGATTATTTTGGAATTCAGAAATGGAAATGCATCATTTATTGCTGCAACTGTTCCAATAGTTTTGTTTTTTAAATTTATACTGGCTATTCTTATAATGTTTGAATATATCATTCAATGTACAATATATAATTCTTACTATGTCTTAAGACAGTTATATAACTTTCAAGATAGTATATATTTTCAGTGTTCTTTAACCTCATTATAAACCCCATGTGTCATTTTTCTCCAATCTAAAAGACTTTTTATAACATTTGTTACAAGGCAGGTCTAGTGCTGATGAGTTTTTAACTTTTGTATGTCTTTACAACATCTTTATTTCACTGAAGAATCTACATTACTAAAAGACATTTTTGCTGGGTATAGAACTGTAGGTCAACATAATATTCACAATATTCTGTTTATAATATTTCAGTATATTTTCCCTTCATCTTTCATTTTGAGTGAAACCAAACTTTCATTTAGGTTGCTTTGCCTATAGACTTGCTTTTTATTCAGTGTTTAATCTTTGTTAACAACATTTTATTTGATTTGTTTCATATTTCATAGTGTACAGTTTTAATCTCTATAAGCTTGATTTGATTTTTTAATATATTTCATAGCTCATGTTCAGCCTTTCTAGCTTTTTTGAACATTTAGAATATATATATAACTTAACTTCCTTGTCTATTATCTGTGTAATTGCAGTGTTTGTTCCTATAGCTTTGTCATTTTTATTCTTCATTATGAGCAGTATTTTGTGCTTTCTTTGTATGTGTAGTAAGTTTTGGTAGACTACCAGTCATTTTAAATTTGCTCTGGTTTGATGATGGGTATTTTTGTATAGATAATGTACTTGAACATTTTTCTGTTACACAGTTATTTGAAAACCGCCTGACCCTTTTACAGGCTTGCATGTAAGCTTTTTTAGGTGACACAATCACAGCATTTAGTCTTGGGCTTATTTTTTCACATTGAAGTAGTACCTATTTAGTAAGTCTTTTCAATGTTTTGACAGTGATAAATTTTCTCGGCTTCATGATAAGAAGAGAAACTATTACTATTCCCTGTACTGGAGAATGTGTTAATATGCTTTCTGTTGCTATAGCAAAATACTTTAAGTTTGGTACCCTAGAAAAGGGTCTATTTAGCTCACAGTTTTGGAAGCTGGAAATCCAAGACTGGTTGAGCATCATCTTTTTGGCCTATGTGGAGGCAGGCCTTCCACTCAAGAGTCTGGAGGTGCCAAACCACAGCATGAGTTTCTCAGATTTGAAGCTTTTGACTTTTTTTTAAAAAATTGGTACCAGGGATCGAACTCATGACTGCCTGCTTGCAAGGCAGGCGCTTATGCCACTGAGCTAAATCCCCAGCCCCCAGCTTTTGATGTTTTGGGGCTGGGAAATGATGTTTTGTTCTGTATGCTATCATATCTAGGGGCATCTCCAGCCTCTGATCACTAAGTCGAGTAGAATCTCCACTACTGGGGAAATAAAAAATGTCTCCATACATTGCCAAATGGCTCCTGGGGAGTTAAGAGTCACTTCTCTAATTCCTTTTGGCAATAGGGCTTATTCACTGACACATAATTGTACATAGTCATAGGTACAGTACATGTATGTAGTATATATATGTAGTGTATAGTGATTAAATGCAGTGTATGGTGTATATATGCAGTGTGTATATGCAGTGTGTAGTCATTAAATCTGGGTGAATAGCATATCTACTACTCAAATATTTACCATATTTTTCACCACTATTCAAAATCCTGTCTTATAATACATAATTTTGAAATACATGAAATTATGAATTTCAGTCACTGTAAATGACTAAAAATAATCTTCTAACTTCTATATTTTTGTGCCGTGAACTCACTCTTCCCTGCTGTCCTTTCCTTTTGCCCTCCTCCCTAGTAGTAACCACTGTTCTACTCTCTACTTCTATGTGTTCAACTCTACATCTTCTGTGAGTCATTAAAAAGGTTTGATTAGAAAATAGAAGCCAGTTTTCTTCTGTATCAGTAGATAGTATTAGAACAGATCAGCCTAAAAATCCACATATAAGTACAAGTTGCAAGCATTTATCTCAACAGAAGACGTGATGTTAAGATCAAGAAACAAAGGGACCCACTTTCATACTGGCTATTCTGACCAGCTCAGTGAGAAATAATTATTTAAATCAAGTGAAGAAAACAGTGGTGTAAGGTTGGGAGGGTGTGCAGGACTCATCAGAGGATGTTAGAGTCTGATGTCCTCCCCAGTTCTTGGGGCACCTTTATGAGAGCCTGAATCTTAGGGTAATCACCTTTACTGTGATGTGAATCATGGGTTTGAGAATGGGCCAAAGTGAATGCAGCCAGACCAGTTAGAGGTCATTTGTGATGTTCCAGGTAGAAATGATGGCGTCAGTGATGTAGTCCTAGAAACAACCAGATTTTTAGGTGAAAGGTGACCAGTTCCACCTACTCAGCTCTGCTATTATAGCATGAAAGCAACCACAGACAATATGTAAATAAATATCACTATGTTTCAGTAAAAATCATTAACAAAATAAGTAGCACAGTGTGTTGTGTAGACTAGAGAGAAGCAAACAAATTTCAGTATATTTTGGGGGTAGATTTAATGGTCCATGATGGGATATTAGGGATGTACATGGGACAAGAAGTTTCATGATGATTTCTATGTTTCTGACACGAATGATTTGTGAATAGTGGTGCTCTGGTCAGGAAACAGAAGTAGTGGAAAGCCTAAAACTCACTTAAGATATTAGTGATGTACAAGGTTCCAGTGTTGTTCCCATCTTTTATTTATGAGATGTCTGTGTTTTGAAGGGTTTTACCTCTCTACCTTACCAGTAATGATGAGAAATACTTTCATTCTTCTATACATATCTATTTCACAAAAGATTTGAAAGTGAGAAGACGGAAGAATTGCATTGATAGCATGTTTTCGGCTGGTAGTAAGAAATGAGAGTGAGAAAGAGAAATGTATAGAATCCTCAGACTTCTCTGGGCTCGCTGACAGTGTCTCTGTAGCCTCATTTTCTCCCTCTCTGAAAGGTAACTTCCCCCTCCATCGTGTTCCCAGCTGCCATATTCCTCAGGTTAAGAGCAGAGCTCTTGGATTCTGGTTAGGTACCAGTGGCTTTGGAGATAGAGGTGATGCCCTCTAGAGCCACCTTCTGACACTCTGCACATTCTGTTTCCAGCTTCTTGCAAGAGACGTCTTTGCAAGTTGCTTTATTCATCGTACTTACAAAATTGTAACTCAGTTTTGATTTGCTTTATAGTCTTAGGTGTTGGGGATTTCAGTTTTGCTTTTTGCCTAAATCTTTGCGTTTTATAGGCTCTGCTCTCGGTGCATGACACTGTGGCTCAAAAGAATTACGATCCTGTGTTGCCTGCTATGCCGGATGATATTGATGACGAGGAAGACTCCGTAAAGATAATCCGCCTGGTCAAGAATAGAGAACCACTGGTAAGGCTGGTCCACGTTTCGTGTTAAGGTATCAGTGACTGTCATGATAGTGGCAAATTAGAGGGGCACATCCCAATTATTTCTGCTTTTAAAATATGCTTCCTCTGTGTTCTCCTCAACCTTTAAAGTAAATAAAAAAACATTGTGTCTAAAAAACATGATTTAGAAAAATTAGAATGCAGCAAAATAAAATAGCAATCATTCTGTTAATTACTAATAGCAATAATTTTGAAAACAGTGAACTATTGGCATTTATTAAAAAATTTAACATGCACCAGTATGGGTAACTTGAGATTAAAAGGCATAACTAAAAGAAATTGTTGATTAATTTTAAAAGTAAAAATGGTTATTTAATCAAGTGTCTGATATTTGAAAATGTAACTATAATCAGCATGTGATTGTTTGTTTTGGTACCAGAACTGATAGTGTTGACCTATGTGAAGATGTGTGGGAGGTAAAACAGTGACCTCTGCTACAAAACACGTCATGTCCCCTTGTCCTGATCCTGAGAACATGTCACCTTACACAGCAAAATGGACTTTCCATGGCTGAGGTCTTGCAATGGGAAGATTATCCTGTTTGGATAATGGACCCAGTGTAACCACAAAGCTCCTAGAAAAGTGAACGAGGAAGTCAGTAGGACCAGAGGGAGAGAAGGCTGTGTAACGAGGTCAGGGGGGCAGATGAGGTGAAGACACATGGAATCAGGCAGAGTGAGGACTGGTGGTCTCCTGGAGCCTGCAGAAGGGGCACAGCAAGGTGGTCTTCCCTGAGTTTAGCTCTATGAGACCTCTTTGACTTTCTGACCCTCAGAACTATAAAATAGTAAACTCTTATTTAGCCACCCACTTGTGCTCATTAAACAGGGCCAGCCCGTATTTTATGAAACTGTGCTCAAAAGAAAATTAAATCATGTAATCTAGTAGTTAATTTAAAATGTGTCATGTCCACTTTATTGTAATGAATGCATTTTTGTGTTCTTGAAGCCTGTAGCTTTTGATAATACAACAGTTGCCAGCACTATGTCAAGAACTTTACATACAGTTAGGCTTCGTATAATATATGGTATAATTTCCTGATTTTACAATCTAGAAAACTTTTATTCAAAGAAAGTAAATTGGCTTAGTAAACTAAGAGGTAAACTTAACTCCTTACCTTTAAATACTAGGTTTTTCTTTGTATCATACTGTGTCTTTTGTGCTCCATCCCTTTGGTAGTTTTTTTTTTTTTTTTTTTTTTTTTTTTGTCTTTTTTGAGATGGGGTCTCGCTATGCAGTTCAGGCTGGCCTTGAGCTCACTTTGTAGCACAGGCTGGTCTCAAATTCATAAGGATCCTCCCACCTCGGCCTCCCAAGTGCTGGAATTACAGGTGTGAGCCACCACGCCTGGCTTCTTTGATAGTTTTTTATCTTCTTGTCTTATGGCCTCTGTAGATGTGCTGATAAATAAATTGAATTTTCATACCCATAAAAATACAGATAGTTTGTATATTGTTTAAGGAGGTTTATTGAGTCTCAGATGCTCATTCATGGACATTGTAGGGCTCCTCATATTCTTCGTTCATATTGTTTACTTTCATGTTATGAAATACATGCCTTTAGTCCAAGGGTAGAGCTTCTCATCCATCGATGTTTAGGTAGTGGTATCCTAAATATCTTTTGACCTCTATCATGGTCATATGTTTAGTAATTGGATGTACAGATGTAGAGAAAACTGACTTCAGAACCCATCATGATAGAGTGTCCCATTCTTTGTAGATTCTGTGCATATATCAGTAAGCGGTCTTTTGTTGTTTTGACAAACTCATTTTTCATGGAGATGATTGACAGACTGACTCAGTTGATGAGTTCAGTAATTCATTGGTAATAATTGCATTGATCAGTCTTTCTTTTCCTAGTGTTTGGGGTGTTGGTTTGGTGAGTTGACATTTAGACAGCTGTCAGCAATATTTGTGTATGATCCTTCAAATTTGTCTCTCAAAAGCTTTTAGTTGGGTCTGCTATTTCTTCTCTTATGTATGAAAATAAATCCAGTGAACAGTATAAAATAATATGTTGTAGTTTCTTTCTTTTTTTGGTCTTTTTGAGACAGGGTCTCGCTATGCAGTTCAGGCTGGCCATGCTTTCACTTTGTAGCCCAGGCTGGTCTGGAACTTGCAAGGATCCTCCAGCCTCAGCCTCTTGCGTGCTGGGATTACAGGTGTGTAGCACCATGCCTGGCTTAAAATAGCATGATGTAGTTTCTTACTAAATATATTACACTCTTTTGCTAAAAAGCATGTAACAATAGAAACAAACGTTAAGGAGAGCTGGTAATTCTTCATCTGTTGTCCTCCTTTTCTTATTGTTTGTGTATTACAGTATTTAGGATGTGAACCAGCATAGTGGTGAGAGTTACTTGTAAAATGGATTTGCAGAGACCAGGTAACTCTTGAATGAAAAGACCAAGCAGAAGGAGCTCACAAAATAGCACAGCAGGTTTTTATTTGGGAGATTGGTAGTATTGGCTTTCAGTTAGGGGAAAATTCAGGGGATAAAAACGAAGAATTTCCTTAAAAGATCACTTCCAGTGATAAATCGTTTAAAAAATGAACATTTCTCTTAAGTATGAAAGTGTTTTCCAGATCTGTAATATTTATATGTTCAGGAGATAGTTTAAGCATTTCTCAGATTTTTCAGTTTGTTGTAGTGCAGTAACTTCACAACTTTTTAAAATTTTAAACAGAATAAAACCAAGCAAAACAAAACAGAACAAAGCCAATCAAAATAAACCAGTGTAAGTGACGTAAGGCTTCAAAACAATAGGAAATCAACAGTGGTTACTACAATGCCTCCTGCTGCCTTCAAAGTAGCTGTAGAAACCTTTAGACATAATAAAAATCGAGCAAAACAGAACAAAATAGAACCAATAAAAACAAAACAATGAATGCAAAAAAAACCTTCAAAACAAGATAATCGTACATCAAAATGGCTACTGTAGTATATCTTGTTATCTTTCAAATAGCTGCCCATGCCATCAGTTATAATAGAATCAAAACAAAACAGAATAAAACCAAACGAAACCAAACAATGAAAATGATACAGGACTGTAAAGCAAGATAGTAGGGAGTTAACAATGGCCACCACCTTCAGAAGGAGATCCCCATAGATGCCACACTGCATACTGTTATCCTCCAAATGGATGCTCAGACTACCAGCAAAGTCAGTTAGACACTAAACACTACAAGCATTAGTTTTTTGTTTTCCTCAGTAGCTATCATCTCAGCTATCATCAGCCAGTTGCCCAAGGGCATGGGGTGGGGACACCACTATTCTTGTCTGCCAGCCTGCATGCCAGCCGGCTCACAGGAAGGGGCTGGCTTCTTGTTTCTCTTCCTGGTGACCCCAGTGGCTGCCTCTGGTTCATAGGAAGGGGCTGGCTGCTAGTTTTTCTTCCCAACAACCTGCCAAATTTCACAACTTTGAACTCTCCTTAATTGGTAACATTTTCCTTCCTGTTTATTCCCAAATGTAGAAGAACCGAAATGTTAGGCCTTCGTGTTTGTTTCTTTATTTTTTAAGACAGGATCTCACTATACAGTACAGGTTGACCTTGAACTCACTTGGTAGCTCAGGCTGGCCTTTAAGTTATGGTGGTGCTCTTGCCTCAGCCTCCTGAGTTGGGATTACAGGTGTACCCCACCATGCCTGGTTTAGTTCTGTGTGTTTCATCTGTAATTGCCATTCTGCTCACTTATCTTTATATTAATTTAAGTTTTTTCTCTGATTTTTGAGTATATTATTTAAAACTAAATTGGTAACATTTTTCCCCACCAAACATATGCAGATAGCTTTTTTTTACCTCTAGCTTTAGTTTTCTATATTTAATGCCATTTAAAGTCATGAGAATTTTTAAATTTCTATATTTAAAAGATTTAGTGGTTCTTTATCTTCCTAGCCAAACACAGTGTGATTTCATATTTTATGTTTAAGAGACTACATTTTAAAACAGATAAGCAAACAAAAGCAACTTCTTATGGATAAAGAGAGCTTTTAACTGGGTTGAAGAAGTTTTCAAGGGTATTCATTAGGTAATCTTTTAAAAAAAGTATTAATGTTTGAAACATTATTTTTAATGAACTCCAATAAGGAAGATTACTTGTCTTGATCTTTTTGTTCATTTGAATGTATAATTAGCATATCATTTCTAATTTGACAGTTTTGTAAAAGTAAGGTAAGGTTATTGGGCAAGTTAATTCAAAGTTTAAAACATGTATTACCCAGAAAAGTAGAAGTGATTTATACTCAGTAGTATTTGTCAAGTGATAATGGTCAGATTGGAGAAGTTGTTGGAGGAGCTACCAGACAGCAAAGCAAAAGGGCAGATTAAAAAGTCAGAGGCACACAGGAAAAGAATTTCAAGTAGTAAAAAACAGAAAAAGGCAAAGTGAGGGAAGCCAGGCTAGTCGGAAAACTGCTGGCAAACGATTCACGAGAAAGGACGTAAACACTGCAACCAGTGTTTATCACTGAGCATGTTTGTCTGTTAGACCCAGGTACAGTGCGGTGACATGAATCATGGGTGGAAAGCTTGCATTGGGTGACCTGTGTGGAGACAGGATGTATTTGCTTTCCATCTGATCACAGTTGGTAACTTGGCTAAGTATCCTTATGAGATTCTCAGGAAATGTCCTTTCCAAGGGTGCTTTGACTGTCAACTGAGATAGGATGTATCTGAGGTGCTTTGTACGCTGTGAGGTATTATGTTTATGTTGCACAGAATGATAAAGCTAGAATCTAGAGTGCAGCTGTGCAGAGAATGATTACCTAGGAGGACAGGCAGGAGCACCAATCATGCAGGTATTTGGTAATGCAGAAGAAATTAAAAGGATAAAGGAACAAAGAGAAGACAGGGAAAAATATCAGTCAATATGTGAAGAACAGAGGTATCCCACCTCCTGTGTGACTCTGAGCAATTTGTATTTGTTTTGTTCAGAAAATTAAGATTGAAGCAAGCACAAGAAAATGAGATTCTGTTGGTTGGTGAGTGGATTTCAGTACTATTTTTATGGTTTCCTGTGAAATTTGTTCTGTTTTTTTGAGAACAGTAGTTTTCAAATTTTTGTAAGAATGACCTGAGGTACTTACTTAAAATACAAATTTATGAGCTCTATTCTGAAAGACTCATTATACCAGGAGGTTTTATCTGAGATGTTCTTATTGTACACTTGAACAATACTTATTTCAAAGCCTTAGCCTGGAATTGCTGTGCTCCTGCTTAAAAAGACGTTGGTGGTTTATAGAAGATTAAATTTTGATTTAGGAAAATTGTGCTAATCCAATACTAGCATTCCTCCTTTATAAGCCACTTTACAAAGTTAACAGTGAACAAGAATCTAACCAGAATTTTAACCTCTCAATCTAACTTAAGTGCTGTTTTTTATTTTCATCAAAATTCAAATAAATTCAAAAGAATTATGCAAAGGAGTATAGTTTTTCAGGATATTACATACTGCTTTAATGCATTTGCATTTGCAGACGATAGCATAGAGCTTTCAATTTCTATACAGTATCATGTATTATGCTATATACCATTGAGTTTTGATCTTTCAGATATATTGTGCTGGGAATACATGTAATAATAGGGATTTGGAAAGCAGTTTAGATATAGAAGTGAAGAGGAAAATAGAGAGTTAAATTTTTACTTCTGGGGTCTTATGCCAACCTGCACCTAACTGCTCCCCTGAGCAGATTGGTCTTCCTGTCTTCCATCAATGCTAAGCACATATTTCCCCTAGCTAACTGGCCTTATCCTGAATTCACACGTTAAGCACTTGTTTCCCATGACTTCAAACTTGCCCCCACCTTGAACCTGTGTGCTTCCCATAAACTGAGTTTGCTTGGAGTTTGAACTTGCATACTTGCAAATAGATGATGCAGTTTTCTCTTAGGCTAGTCAGTAATAATGAAATAAGATGTAACCAATCAGTAACCATCAAATACTCTTGCTTCTGTACTTCCCACTTGCAAACCCCAAATAAGCCCTAGACTACCAGAGATTGAGGCCTGATAGTTTGGGAATGAATCTCAGTTCGCATTAAATAAATCAGTCCCCAAATCTTGGCGATGTTTTGGTGTTTTCATTTGCTGCTGCACAAGAAGGAAGGGTTCAAAATGCAGATTGACTCTAGTAGCAGTATCATATAAAAAGTAAAGTTGTTTCTTGGGTCCATAGTGTACCTTCCAACAAAAGTGGAATCAGTAGGTGGTAAGCATTTTCTATCAGCGTCCATATCTGTAGCAAAATGACTCTTAAGTGTTGGAGGGTTCTTCTTTACACTTTACAGAAATGATTTCATTCTGCCCATGTGGTATTAGAAAACGTTTATGTACTTGACTCCCCAAGGCTTATTTCTTTACCAGAGCTTTCTCTTGACCTTTAAATTTGTACATCCATCTAACTACTCAACATCTACATTTGGGTGTCTAATGGGAATCTAAGTGTTCAAATGTCCAAAAATATAATCCTAGTCTTTGTCCTCAAACCCGTTTCACCTGTATATACACTCTTTCTCCTCCAATTGTGCAGTCCCAAAGAGTAATTGTTGGTCCTTCTCTGTCACATCCCATAGCCAATTCACCGGGAAATCCTTTTAGCTTTACTAAAAATGTATCCACAATGCTTTTTATTACCTCTATTCCTGCCACTCAGATTTAAACTGCCATCATTGGTCCCTAGGATAATTTTAATAACTCCATGTTTCTTTCATTACTAATTTTTTATTAGCTTACCTTTGCCATACGTACTGGTTACATTCATTTTGGAGGATTAGTACGCGTACATGGCATTTCTTGATCCTGCTGCTCACAGCTCTGCAGTTCTGTCTTTTGCATCCCTAGTCTAGCTCTGTGTCCTTCCTCACATGGTCAGGATGCTGCATAATGCAGCTCCCTGGCCCCGCCTGGCCTCCTCTCCTGCTCTTGTCCTCTTACCCTACTGCAGCTGCATTCTTTACTCTTCCTTGAACTTTCTTCCCCTTGGCACTTGCTATTTCTTCTTTTTTTCCCTTTGGCTAATTGTCACTGTCACTTCTTTCTAGACTTTCTCTACTCAGATGTCATCATCTCAGCGAGACCCATGTCTTCCCACTGTCTCCCTTCCACTTGTGGATCCTGACCTTCCTTACTGACTTCTTCCCCCCTCCTACCTTCAGAGTGCTTACTGTATTCTAATGTAGAAGATAACACACATATTGATTTCATCTCTTATTTATTATTTCTTTTTCTTGTTAGATTATAAGTTCCATGAAGAGGTAGAAGAAGTTTTGTTTACCAGTGCATTGCAAGTCTTTAGAATTCTGTCTGGCTCATAATACTGTCTCTGTAAACATTTATCAATTTTGTTGAATCATAGAAGAAATCAATGGGAAAACACTAAGCACAAGAAGCTGGGTGGTTCTGTACTGAAAACCAGTTTAGTACTATTGCATAGTGGAAAGAGAGAGATTTGTTCCTATTATGTAGTCCTCTGTTTTGAACATGCTGTGTCTATAGTCCAAATATTGGGACTAAAACAATACACAGTTATGTTTCACAGGTCTGCAGGGCGGTGGGCTCGGCTGGGAGGTTACCACTTGCGATGCTTGTATACGCACTCAGATGATGGTAGCTGAGGGTGGGGTTGTCTGAGGGCTACTGTGTTCAAACAGCTGATGTCTGGACTGGAACATATGAAGTTAGGACCTGGTCAGGTGTGATGATCTCCAAATGGCATCTCTGCTTGACTAGCTTGGGCTCCCCCACAGCATGGCTGTGGTTAGTATTTGCATGTGGCAGCTGGATTTATAGAGAGCCAGTGTTTTATGAGGTTCAGGTGGCAACCAACTGCCTTCTCATAGCCTTAGAAGCCATAAATGATTTTCATCACTTGATGGGGGACCGTGATCTACACATGCAACAAGGGAGGACAAATCACAGTCAATTTACAGGTTTGCAGGTGAAATAAATGTATAAACAGACCTTTATTAAAATATATAGGGTGAGCAATATTGAATGCAAATTAAGATTACCTGGTCAGACTTTCTCAGACAAGTTCCAATTTTTCAATATATTAATTGTCCAATCTAAGGCAAATTATTGTCATTTGGGATTCAACTTCCCATAGGTAAAATGGATAAGTCAATTTAGATTATTAAGCTTTTCTGCCTTTGGCATATTTTGGTGGGATAGTTTGAGTTGTATTCTGAAAGAATAAAAGTTGGTCTGATTAAGCTAATAGTTATATCAACAATATTGTCTCTCCAGTATGACAATGTCTTCTTAAATAAAGAAAATACCAGTAATTGCTGAACTCTGGTTCATGGCTCTGGAGAGATGCTCATTTAAACATACATGGATGAGGAAAAATGCCACAAAAACATTCCATCGTTTTTTCAATTTTTAGTATTATTATTAGACATATCATAGTTGTCAGATACAAAGTATGCTTACTACAATCTGATTTATACAGTTTATGTACTTGTTCTTATTGACAAACTTAAGAAAATTTCTACTTCTTCAGAGCGACTTCTGCCACGATTTAAAGCATATCGTTTTTAAGGACTGCAGACGTGTGGCTCAGTGGTAGAGCAACTCCATAGCACATGCAAGGACCTGAGATCTGTCCTCTGCACTAATAAAGTATAGACTTCTCAGCCAGCTGAAGCAATGTGGGATGGCTTTTCTAACTCATACCTGTTTCTTGGGCAGAAAGTCATGCAGAGGCTAGCTGTTTGTGCCTGTTCTTATAAAGCACCATTCAGTTAATTAGCCTGTGAGTATCTTTAAGTGAAGAATTTTGGATTCTTTTTGAGATTGTGCCTGAATCTTATGTCATAAGATTAGCTGTGTTTGTGCTAGGTACATTTCTGAGTTCATTAAAAACATGGGGTGATAGATCTTTTTCTGTTTAACTGAGCAGTGTATAAAACTAATTTCTAGGTTTTCATAGTTTTCCTCTTTCTTTGTTGTTATTGTCAAATTCCTTTACTGTAACAACTTACTGTAAGAGAAGAATCATTGAATTAAAAGTGCTGGGGAATGGAACCCAGGGCCTCAAGTGTGCTAGGCCCGCGCTCTGCCACTGAGTGACTTCAGCCTTAGCTCTGATTTATATAACCTTTTGTCTACTCACATAACCATAACTAGTCCATCTTTTTCATGAGGTATTATGAGGGCAAAGTAATATAAGAAAGTGCTCTAACAGGGTAAAAACAAACACCATTTTAACAGAATTAATGCAAGATAGTCTTATAATTGAAAGAATGTATTTTTATTTCCCACAATTTTGAAAAGACTAATAGTTTTAAATGTCTTTGTGTTATACTAAAATCCTTAGATGCTGTGTTAGAATGTTCTGCACCTAGAAAGACATATTTGTAAGACAGACAACATGAGACCTGGCCTTCCTGCCTTATTCCTCTAATTATTTTGTCATTGTTTGTACTTTTTCCAGCTGAATGTCCTTATTTCCCCCTCACCTTTCTACTGCACAGTGCAGATATTTACTCACAGCTCTTTTCTCTATTTTTTCCTTCCAAGGGAGCCACCATTAAGAAGGATGAGCAGACTGGGGCGATCGTTGTAGCTAGAGTCATGAGAGGAGGAGCCGCGCATAGAAGTGGTGAGCTTTAATGTTCATTAAGTTGACTCAAGTTGTGACTCTTCCAATATAAGTTTTAAAATATCTCTGGATATAATACAGTAAAACAAGTTATAAGATGTTTTTCTCTACTGACATTTGGGAACCTACATAAATCCATAAAAAAGACTGACTGGTCTTAATGTATACAGGCTTGCAAAGTTATGTTAAGACCTATTTCAGTGTTCCTGATTTGAACACTACTGCTAAGAGCATGAAACTTTAAAAGAAATTATTTCATGCGATATTACTAATGTACATTTCTAGACAAAGACTGACATAATGTTACAATTTTTTGCAAGCATTCTTGTACTGCTTTAGTTTGTTGTGATGGAGACATGGAACCTGCAGGCCGACAAGTGTGAAGTTTTTTCCAATCCTTCAATCTACCAAGGAAATTAATGATGCTTTAATTGGCAGAGACATTTGCAAATTTCAGTTTGTTTTGTGTAACAGCGCTGTTTAGCAAATTTTCTACTTCACAGGTCTTATTCATGTTGGTGATGAACTTAGAGAAGTGAATGGAATACCAGTTGAAGATAAAAGACCTGAGGAAATAATACAGATTTTGGTAAGCTGTAAATTTATTTTAAAGTCACAATGAAAATAAAACTGTAGGTTTTTCTGACTTGGTTTGAAATGTATGGGTTTTCAGGGCAGGATTCAGATCCCAGCGATTATCACTTCATTGCTGTGTCTTTGGGAAACACCTTGATTTGCTTGTACCTTAGTGTTTTCATTTATAAAATAAGAATGAGAGAGGTAAATCTTGTACTGACATGTTTAAGTATTAATGAGGTCATATATGGAAAGAACTGGGACAGGACACAACCTGATCAAAGCAGGTATTAATGGGTAGCCTCTGCATGGCTCCTGGTGACCCATTTGTGTGTTTGTCCCCTCTAATTGACATAGCCATACTGCAGGCTGTAACTTGTAGGTGTGCAAATAACAAAACCAAGTTAGATGTCTTATGAAACTGAAACTTGAATGGAATTGTTTTAGATCTGAACAATGGTAATTTTTAAGTTCATTTGCACAGATAAAATAGAAACGTTCTCTTTAATGCCCCAAAACGTAGGCATACTGCAACAAAAGGAGCAGAGTATGGCAAAACAGATCTCTTTATGAAAATTAGGGTATGATCGAGATGGCACTGTAGAGGGGAATGAGGGCCCCGGAAAGGTTGGTCCGTGGGAACTACGGTACAGTGAGATAGAAATAGGAGATGTTCGTGTGTCACTGCACAGTCGGTAAGGTGGATAATGATAATGTACTGTTTACTTAAAATATCTAAAAGAAAGGATGTGAAGGACCACTATAAAGAAGGGATAAGTGTTTGAGGGGAGAGATCTGCGTAACCTTCTTTGAGTATTAACACAATGTATAAATGTTGTGAAATATCACATGTATCTCATAAATATGTACAGTTGCCTATATCTTTTTATGTCAGTTAATCAAGTAAATTTAAATTTTAAGAAAAGGAGAAAGAGATGTATAGAAGTACATAGAAATAATGGTAGAACGCGTGACAAGACCTCCATGGAAATTACTGTTTCAAGGAGAAACATTCTAGGGACAGGAGCCTTATCAGCATTTCTCCAGGGGCCACTGGCTTTTGCATTGAGCTCTGCTCAGGAGCTCACCCAGGAGCTGTAATTAAGCCACTGCTTCCTCTTCCTCCATGCAGAAAGCAAACAGCACCTTCCCTTGTCCTCTACCCCTGCCATCATCCATCCTTCTGCATTTTAAGTTAGTGGAAAGACCACAGAACCATTTCATAAATGGTATTGCATTTATTTGATTCAGTGAGAAAAAAGATAGTCTCAATTGTATGCCACACACAAAAATAAGTTTCCAGTGAACTCAAAAGTGACAAGATCTCAAAATTTGAATATACATACAATTTTTATAGTTGTAAGGTATAGTCAGAATTTTAAAAATTGTAATTAATTTAGGCTAGATACCTGTTCATTAAAAGATGAGAAGACTATTATAGTTGATATCTTACTCACTAACCAGAATACATCAGATGTGAGGTGTCTCATTTTTTTTTCTGATGGGTGTTATGCTAAATGAATAGTGTATTTATAACCATAGCACTGGCAGTATGGATAGATATTTTATCTCAAAAAGCAAGGATGCTGGCATTTAAATATTACAGTATTGCAAATGTTACAGAGCCTGAACTTTTTAGATTATTTATTCAGTAATTTAATGTTTAATGTATTTAAGGCACTGTTCATAGTTTGTGTTTCTGTTTTAAGTTGACATGGATGACTATATTCTTCGACATATTAAAAGTGCATAAAGGGAAAGAGTAACAGTGGATTTAATGTTTTTTAACTTACTTGACAAACTTGTAAATCTTTCTCATATTACCAGAATTTCTACAAAAATAGTTTCCTTAGTTTAGTCAAAGAGATGTAATCCCTCGCTTGTAAATTTTTAGCTTCCTAACTATTTTATCTTATTTTCCTTGGCTCCAGATTCCTGATGTCTTTTTCTTTCATCCACTATCAGGCGCAGTCTCAGGGAGCAATTACGTTTAAGATTATCCCCAGCATCAAGGAGGAGACTCCATCCAAAGAAGGCAAGGTAATCATTTCTTAAAAATATCCTTGTGTGTGCAGTCCTACTGTTTTTTTTTTTAAACCTAATACATAGGCACACGTTTTAATTTTTAAAACAATTCTTCAATCTAAGTCTCAAGAATGTAGGCCATTTCACATTTATTTTTTACATTCATTCCTCAATGAACCTTTCTTCCAGATGTTTCTCAGGGCCCTTTTTGACTACGATCCTAACGAGGACAAGGCGATTCCATGTAAGGAAGCTGGGCTTTCTTTCAAAAGGGGAGATATTCTCCAGATCATGAGCCAGGATGATGCAACCTGGTGGCAGGCAAAGCACGAAGGCGCCGCCAACCCCAGAGCAGGCCTGATTCCCTCAAAGCACTTCCAGGAAAGGTGAGCGGTTGGCACCGAGCGCTGGCCGGTCTGCAGCTGACCTTTTGTTCTTTGCAAAATACCATTCTGGTGTGGTTGTGATAAAATAAGTCCTAAAAGCCTGCCTTAGAATTTATTATCCCGTGGGCTTGGGTTTCTGTTTTGTCTAACTAGGTATGAATAATGACCAAAAATAATATGACAGTACCAGGTCATCTTGGGTTTTTGTAAGGAAGCAAATGGAAAACAGCACATTAATATTAGACTGCATTGGGGTGAAAGGAAGAAAAAGAGCAGTCATATAGTTTACAAAAACTGAAAAGAAAATTTATCTCTTAATTTGAATGGATTATATTGTGTTCAGTCTCTACCCTCAGCTTTCAAGTTTTTTCTTAAGATTTTTAATGTTTTACTACTGCATTAACCTTAAACCAGTGCTGAAAATTGAGAGGCTTATTGACCTTTTATTCCCCCAGGAGATTGGCCCTGAGAAGACCAGAAATACTGGTTCAGCCCCTGAAAGTTTCCAACAGGAAATCATGTAAGTTTGTTAATAAGAATGCAGAGTAACCAAATCCTGCTGTTTATTTTTGACTAGTAAAGCAGGTGCTTGTGGAAGAAGAAGGGATCATATTATCTTGCTCCTGGGTCCTCATTTCTCAGGAATGAAACTCGTAAGAAATCTGCAGTGGGAATATTAATGTGTCTCTTTTGAAGAAAAGGATGATTGGGGAGATGTTTGTAATAAACCCATGACTCATTCTTTAAGAAAGTAACAAAAGACTATTGCTCTCTTTGATTTCTAAGTTTAGGCATTTTTATAAATGTAAATAAAAAATCATTCTTTTCTTTTTCCAAAGCCAGGAGCTTTTGTTTGGGTAAGATATTTCTTGGTAAAGATTAGGGGGACAAAATCCACCACTTTCTTAGACACAAAAGCATTTGTACCTAAGAACAATTATGCCTCTTAACTCGCTTCTTTTCCACAAATCATAGTAACTCTGGCTTTTATTCCATCTGTTTGGAGTTATCACCAGATTAAATTGAAAGAAAATCAGACTAAGAAAAAGGAAATACTGAAAAATAGTGTGGGTTTAGGTGCACTTTCCCCCCCCCCCCTTTTTCTTCTTTCTATCTCTCCCCTTCTCCAGTCTCCATCTCATCAATTTCTGCTTCAGCTCCCCAAATGTTTCATGGTCCTAGGTATTTTAAGAAGTTTTTAAAAGCCCCTTCTTTGTTTTAAGCAGACATCTTGTACATTAAAAAACAAATGAACAAATAAATGGCCCTGGAATTTTACACCAGCATCTGTTTTTAGTATTGTTGCATTTTTCACATCTCCTATTATTTCTGTCAGTTGGTAGAAGCTTATAGCCCAGGAATCACATAGTTACGGGAGCCAAACTGCAGCTGAGTATAAATCTCTCAGCAAGCCAGTATTTAATGTGGAGCACTGATTCAAAAACCTACTTGTTCTTGCTTCATTAGGTCTCGACGCAGGGAAAAACACTTGTCATAATGCATGTGGCGTTTTAAGGCATCAGAAAGCTTAGGATTTAGTGATGCCTTGTTGCTAACAGTAGCGACTTTTCACTGGCAGCTTGTTTAGCTGAAAGGCACCTGGAGACATCTGTCCACCTGTCTTGTCTCAGGGAGGGAGACTCAGGCTGGGCTTCTGCCCTTCTAACACTGAAGGTGCTGCATGTGCCATAAACCATGTCTCTGGAAAATGGAGTAAATGTGGCTGTCCTCAAATCAGAATCTGTACGCAGATTTTCTGAAACTAGACAATTTAGGAATTGACAATTTGATGTAAGCATGAATTTTTATTTAACATTTTTAATAAATGCATATGTTTCTTGAAGCAGCTATGTAAAAGTGATAGCTTCTCTTTTAATAGCTTTCCCATCTGTATTTGGTATCAATATTTGTGAACTTGGATGTGTGTGTGTATTAATTGCAGTAAAGCTGTTTTGTCTATTAATTTGTGTAATTTCCTTTTTCTGTTATTACTTCAATATTTGGAGCTGAGAAATATTTATTTCAAGATTTGTCTACTGAAATGTCTTCATTTTAAATATTTTTTCTTCTTGAACACCATTCAGAAATGTTTACTGATATTCTTTCTTTTCTTCTTGCTCTTTTTTTAAAACTAGATTGCAATTTACTGAAAGGTGTATCAACTAGTCTACTATATATTTTCAATGAAGCCTGGCCAACATTATCCAAATAAATCTTCAGTACATAGAAACTGTGTTCAAGTACAGAGAGACAGTATTTCTATGAAAGTTATAGAAAGCTAATGTCTTTACTCTCAAAGAATTGAAATGTCTTTGAATATTGTTACAGAAACTTATAAGCTGTTCAGAAATCATTGTATTAGTTCTGAACATTTTTAGTGGCACTTAAAAACACTTTAACCTATGCATTTGATAGTGATTCTTTATAAGTAGTTATACCTTATAAAGGCTATCTTATTCAACTACTTCTTGAATTTCAACATTGATACTTAGATTTTTGAAATAGAAAACTCATGTTACATGATACTGATTATTTCCTAAGATTGGTTGTAAAAAAAATTCTTGACTCAATGTTAAATATCAGAAAGAATAATCTTTTCATCTTGGAGTTTATAATTTTATGAAGAAATGGGAGTGATGAAAAATTTCTTCACTAAATTCTACAAGATTTCTTAAAATCCCAGGAGGATATTGTGAGCAATGGATTATGTAGAACAATGAGCTAGGCTGTTAAATTTTGCCACTATATGCTTGCTTATATTACTATGATTTTACTCTGTAAACATCATCGTAACTGATGTTTTCAAAGAAAAAAATGTTCATGGAAGATGATTCTGGAACTGTAGAAGTTTAGTTAATATCAGTATGAAAGGCAAAAAAAAATTTCAGTTCTGTCATCTTTGCATTTATATTTGTTTTGGAACTTTGATTCCTGGCTCCCAAGTAAATAAAATCAGGAGGCATCATAATAAAGACCTCTTCAGGTTTTGAAAAACTTACAGAAAACTCTTAAGTGTAAATTTGGTATCATCTTTGATAGTTGATTGTTTTTGCCTCTGAAGAATCATGGTATATGTAATTAAACAGCCAGAAAACAGGCTGCTCAGAGAAAAATCATTTGTTTCTGAAAAGCAAACCTTCCTAAAAATTAAAACATGAACTCTTAAAATGCAAATATTCTTGAATCTTGAAAGCTTGATATGAGGAGTTATCTCTTCTTGTTCTTCCTTTTATTATTTCTTTTTGAAAAATTACTTATGCAACAAAAAATTTAATAAAAATACAGAAATATATCATCTTTTCCTCCATAATCTAATTGTGGGCTCCACATATGGATGTGTGTCGGTGACACAGAAGAACAGAACCTGCAGCAAATCTTGTGCTGTGCTCGGGTAGCACGTGAGAGTAGTTTTTCACGATGGAAACCTGGCAACTTGCATTTCTTGTGTAGACAGATTTTAAAGTACTGTAATTTACTTTTATACCTTGAATGTATAAAGCATATGATAGCACCTAACTTTTAAGAAAGAAATATGAATTTATTTGAAATAGTTTATTCCTTTTCTATTGAAACCTATATATATATGAGTAAGAGTTGTCTTCCTAATTGCATAGACATTAATTTAACTTCAGTAGGATATAATTTACATTTGAATCCACTATCTATGGCCTTCCTAAAGACTGTAGAAAAAGCTTCTGTTCATATATTATATTTTGCTACAGAATATTCCAGTATGATTTTTATGTTCCATGGTTCATTTCCTTATTTGTTAAATACCTGAACATTTTATTATAGCAGATTGAATAATCTTTATTTGAAAATTTTCTTTTCCAAAATGGCTCTTGTGAAATTCTTGTCAGAAAAGAAAAAAGAATTCACAACTTTTGGTATTTTCAAACTTAAAACATAAAAACCCTAAGTATTTTGTTTAAAATTTGTTTTAACCAAGTGTGATTGCTGTCGTTCAGATAAGATGCAGAAAGGGTATTCCTTCAAGCAGGGTGTAACCTGGCTCATTAAAGGCAGCACTGTGGATTGAAGATCACAATCTTCAACAAAGAAACACCCAGAAAAGTACGAATTCACTGTACACGGCACCTGTATTTTTGAAGACTGCACATTTAAAAATAATACATGACAAGACTCTATAGGTTGTTCTAATAAGGCTTTTCAAACTGAATACTCTCCTCCTCCTGGCATCTTCAGTAATGTTTATGTAGTGTGTTCATACATAAACTTAATTTAAAAACAAACAGATCAGTTTATGTTGTTAAAATCAGTTATATAGAAAATTGATCAAACATTTTCTTAATGTTGGTGGGGCTTCTGTGCAAACAGACATAAGGCTTGGACTCCTTGTGTGAAGTTGGCGCACATAGATAACCCTTCTGCATCTCTTTTCTGTCCTCTGACCTTCCTCTCCCTCTCCACTACCCCATCTATTGATCTGCTTTCCATTTGAGAAAGACCTGTCTTTCTACATCCTATTGTCTCTCTTTTATTTGGCTCTGTGTATCTTCGATTTATCATGGAAGAGAAGCCAGGTGATATTTAATCTTGCGTGTCTAATTTATTTCACTTAGCATTACGGTCTCGAGGTGCAGCCACCTTGCCGCAGGTGTCTCAGGTTTATCCTGAGCCTAGCAGATGGCACTGCATTACATGTGATACCACATTTCTTTATGCATTCATCGGATGATGGACATACATGCTGCCTAAACATGGGAATTGTGCTGCTGTAATAGGGGTATGCATGTATCACTGTAATAAGATGACTTTAACTCTTGTGGGAAGATACCCCAAAATATTAAAAAATACCTAAAGGTATTTTTCCCTGTAAGTTATTTTTCCTTTACTTTAACAAATACCTGAGATAATCAAAATACCAAATTATCAAATGACAAGGCGTATTTTGGATCACAATTTTGGAGGCTCCAACTCACGATCAGTTGGCCTCATTGCTTTATTTGGCTAGTGACAAGGCTGCATGTCACGACTGGGGACATACAGAGAAGCAAAACCCTCATCTCATTGCTGGGACACATAAGAGAGAAAGAGCAAGGTGTCAGGTCCTGCCATGTCCTTCTGGTCCCCAGTGACTAGAGGAGCTCCCGCCATGTCCTTCTGGTCCCGAGACTGGAGGAGCTCCTGCCAGCCCCGCGTCTTAACCCAGCACTACGCTGGAGACCAAGCTTGTGTTGTGGGCTTTGGGGTCTTGACTATAGCACACTGGTACCCACTATGGAAGACTCAAAGGCTCAAGGTTTGCATGGAAAGATTAAATTTGCATTTCATTGCCACATGATTAGAAGGTTGAGACTTTTAGTCTCAGTAATTATTTTCTCTTTGCGCAGCTGATGGTGTTGGTTCTGAAGCAGTCTCAGAGTAGGTTCTTGTAATTTAAAGGTTGCCAAGCCGTATCATCTCTTGGATTTTGTTTGGGGTCCCAGTGCCAGGCAGTAAGAGTTGGTTAATAGTTGTACATGGATTATTGCAGAGTTTAGGGAACACTGCAGTAGG